GTACCTCTGTCAGTTTTTTATTTATGTCCCTGTTGCATATCTTTCCCTCAGCTCTTGGCTGATAAAACCATTGCCAGGAGGACAGGATTTGAGAGTAAATCTCTTTAACAGGAGTAAAACCAGACAGAGGTGTTAATCCTTGCCTAGCATTTTTTGGCTTGACATACATTTTATCTCATTGAACTGATAAGTTTATGCATATACAGGCAAACCCCAGGTTAGGAACGTCCGGTCTGCCGTCCTGACGTCCCGCGTCACTTCCGGTGAGTGGAACGCATGCCGAGCTGTGCGTTCCAAGCGGCCATATTTAGTGTTGTTTGGAATTGTATCCTGTCATCCCTTGCTGAACCAGGTTGTAAGGTCTCTGTGAAAGCAGTGGAATCTATGTTAGCCTATGGAGGCAATAAAATAGATGCTTTTCATTCATCTTACCAAATGTGAGTGGCCTGGCAATTTTTATCAAATATTGCACAATTTAATAGCAGTATTACACTATTATATACTTCTTTTCCTTGCACTGCTGTGGAGTTTGGTGAGAGGACAAGCCTGGAGCGAGTGGAAAAAATACTCTAAACCCTATATGGTGGAAAGGAGTCCTGAAGGCTTCAAAAAAGGGGGCTTAGGATCCCTAAACATCCTAAAAGGCGCATTACTCACCATTATCTGGTGAGTGCGGCTGATGTTAGTTTTTCACTGGTGAATGGTGGAAGCACTATTTCGTTTGGATATCTGATTTTTTCACAAGTTATTGGGGAGAAAGGACTTTTCTTTATTTGTATTTATTTGGACACTTTAAATTAAATGGAGAATTCTTTTTTTTTGGGGTCACTTTAATTATATTTGTCATTTATAATTTTTATTGATTTTTTACAATGTATGTTATTGATTGAGGCAGGGTGTTGATTTGCGCTGTTTTTTTTTTTTGTTTTTTTACGAACACAATAGGGTCTGTAGGTTTGTTTTTAAGTTGAATTTGTATGTTAGAACAGGTACATTTTTTAAGTGTAGCTCCAGCCAAAAAAATCTTTGACTTTTTTTGGATAGCATAGGGAAGGGTTAACACCCACGTAACTTTTCCAGGAGTGAATTTCCTTTCCTAGTTGTATATTTCCTCTCGCTTTTGTTTCTCCCTTCATTTGTAAGAAGGAGCCATTTGTAGCTTGGATGTTCGTAACTCGGGTCTGCCTGTATAGCCCTTCTACCCACCATTCCTAAAGATACATCACATTTTTAAAAGCCAACCCAAAGTTTAGGTAAATGTCTGTTTTAATTAACTCTTTTTTTGTCTTTGATAGCTTGAAGGTATGGTTTGGTAAATGTATTACATTACATAAATAAATGAAACTTTAATTCATTGACTATCTGACATGATTCTTTTAAATACATAACTTCTGGAAAATTAAAAATATTCATAGCAAGTAATACAATAGTCCCCCTGAATTTAGAAATAAAATTATTTACCCTAATGCCATGTTTAATGTGAAATCATATCTACTGTATATTGTGCTTTGTGAAAATTTATGTGGATTTGCCTTGGAATGGATTTAACAAATAACTGACCTGTCCTGCAGCACCAATCTGCTGAATTTCCTTCAATGGAATCACATTTTGAATATTTAAAGCAGGATAGTGTGCAATATGTATTTATATTCTCATTTGTTTTTCATGTGTTTTCTTCTGTATTTAAATCAAATAAGTTACTACAGTTGTGCAATTTTATAATTTTTCAGTCTGAAAGGTTTTTTTTGTGAACATAAGGAAGACATGAAAAAAAAAAAAAGAGAAATAAGTTAAAGAAAACAGTGCTGTTAGAATATGAGTTTATGGGAAAATAATATTGCATTTATGAATATATTTTAATTAGAGTGGTTTCAATGTGGGTGTGTAATATGTCTGCTGATATGTCTATTTTCTGATGATAACTCTTAATTGGAAGCTGCCAAGGGAATATTCTATTAATGAATTCAATATTCTAGAAGGCTTGACAAATAGGCTGAGAACCTCTTTCAAATGTTTTGGGGAACCTACTCGAGATATCCCCTTTAAATTATCTCCTCATTTAGATATGCGATGAAGGTGGCCATCCTTTCATGAATACGTAATTTTCCTTTCATAGAGGTCATGAACTTGTGCACTTGTAATTTTCCCTCCTAAAAGGTTGTACTAAGGATTTGCAGTAAACTGGGCTGACTTATATTAAATACAGGGGATTGGGAATTAGGCAATCCTAAATTAATTTGAGGCTTATAAACGCTGCCTATGGAGATTTTTTAAATACTGAAGTTGATTTTTACTTGTAAATAAAAAGTGTCAGAAGGCGGCCTGGTCTTACAGTGGTCAATGCCTGAAGGTGTTGGGCCTCTCTGTGTGGATAGGCTATGACAAAGTCTTACACATGTGGTATCACCATACTAAGGTAGAGTGGCAGAATGTGTTTTGGCTTGTGAATGAAGGTATGCCTATGCCATGTGTAAGAAATAACTTGTTAATATGACATTTTTGTGAAAAAAACCCTAATTTTATTTAACTTAAAAAAACTCACCATGCCCCTTACTAAATTCCTTGGACTAACTATTTTACAAAAAAGGGGTCATTTGGTGGGTATTTGTACTGTCCTGCCAGGTTAGGGCCTTAAGAAATGAGATAGGCAGTCAGTACAGCAGGTGTAATCAATTTTCAGTGATAGGTACCATAGCTTGCAGACTCTATAGCTTTCACACAGACCAAATATTATGCACTGATTTGGGTTTTTTTTACCAAAGAAATGTAGCAGTATAAATTCTGGTTAAACTTTATCAAGAAAAATAATCTATTTGTAAAACTTTATCACAGCAACTAATAAAAACATGCTATTTTCAAATTGTTCAGTATTTTTTTCATATTAATTAAATACCACCAAAAGAAAGCTCTATTTGTCCCAAAAAATGATAAAAATATCATATGGATACAGTGTTGCATGGCTGAGTAATTGTCATTCAAACTGTGACAGCACTGAAAGCTGAAAATTGGCCTAGGTAGTAAAGGGGTAAAAGTGCCCAGTATTGAGGTGGTTAACTGAGAAAATGTGTACACGGCACAGGGCGTCTGTGGGTCTAGTGGCATCTGGAGATCCCCCGCCTACTGCCTAGTGTACCCTGTCCAGTATGATATGCTCAGTCAATTTTTTCTCAGTAAGTAATTTAAGATGGTAGTGGTATTGCTTTTCATGTCCACTCAGAGATCCCTTGCACATTGTTGTGGCAGTTTCTGTTTTCTTCATCCTTTATTAGCAGCAAGGTCTGTTATAGTTGTGTAATTGTGTAGTCTGCATCTGCTCCACAGGGGAGGCAGCTGGAGAGGAGGCAGAAGCCACTGTTAATGGATCAGGCTGTTGTGATGGCTTCAGTGGTGTGGAGGTGCAGGAAGCTGTTGGTATATTTGTTTTTGGGCCCCTCGTGACTCTCTGGCAGGATTACAATGATCATCTTAGATTTACTAGAGTGAGACTTGTTTCCCATTGTAGTGACCAAGTACCTCTGTATAGTGGAGGATTTCAGGTGGTGGGGGTCCCTTCAGGCCATAATAATTTGGCTGGCAGCTGTGGTAGCGTTTGTTGTAGATCAGGGAGAGCAGGACCCTGCATTGCTATTCACGCCTCCAGGAGGAATTAGTAATGCAGTTTTTACTGCAATTTTTACTTTTGCTGATTTTCTGGAATACTACACAAGCAGGAAATGTCAAAGTGTTGCCATAACTTCCAATTTTTTATTACCTTTGTTACCTTTAGAAAATCATAGCTATATGTATTGAAACATATTTTATTATGAAACATGAAAATGTGAAACTTATAAAAGTTATTTCCATTATTTATGTTTATTTTAATCTTGATTTCCTTTAAAAATGCAAAATATATGTTGCGTCACGTGCTAATTACAAAATCTTCACTTTATTATTTGTATCCCCTAACTAACATTAAACCATGTACAAGTCTTTGGCTTGTGGACCTGGAAGTTCTCATAAAGTGCCAAAAATATTATTAATTATTCCCAGGGATCATGCTGTTGAACATTGGGATAACAAACTTATTCAGCTTTGTGCTGATGTAATTTTAATCAAGCATATGGTCTCTGTAGATGTATTACAATGTGGAGTTGAAATTATTTTGTAGTCTCAGTCTTTCATTGCATCTTAATTATGATTCAGTATTTCTAAGGGACTATTTGAAGAAACGATCTCCTGTGACATAACAAGAATTCTTTTAAATAAATATATATATATATATATATATATTTATATTTTTATTTTTTTTTTGTTACTGAATATACGTGCATTGTGCATTTTGTTTTGTTGTGTCTCTAAATTCCTATAAAAAAACATGAGCACATGAAATAAGTAGGGTGTCATTGTCCTTATCCACCCTTCCAGTTCTATTTATTATTAATTTCTTTGTATAAAGCTGGGTATCCATTAGTAGAACATTATTGAATAGTTTTCATTGTAGCAATATTGTTAGAACATTCATTAATTTTTCTAATCATGAATAGGGTCCAATCATCGACCATTTGACTGCAGTGCCAAGAAAATTCAAAGGAGCAGGATGGAAACTATTTCTCGAATGTATGCATTTCTACTACTGTATGTGGATTTTGTTTGGTAACAAGCATTTATTCCAAAGACAGATGTTAAAAACAAATTACCGTATTTTTCGCTCCATAAGATGCACTTTTTTCTCCCCGAAAAAGGGGGGGAAATGTCAGTGCATCTTATGGAGCGAATATTGAGCGGCCGGTCCGGTATTGCCGCCGACACCGTGTCAGAATACCGGGCCGGCTGCTCGTCTCTTCTCTGCAGCTGGACCTTACCTGTTCCTTGGTCCAGCGCTGTACAGTCTTCCCGCACCAGTATCTTTAGTGCGGGCTCTCGGCTGTGACAGCCGGGTGCCCAGTGCGCAAGCGCGAGAAGTGCTGCACTTTGTGAATTGTACGGCGTCTTCTGGGACCTGTCATGTCTGGGACCTGTCACCTGTCATGTGTGGGCCAATCACAAAGCGCAGCGCTTCTTGCACATGCGCAGTGGGTACCCGGCTATTAGCCTGGGTGCCCACACTAAAGGGAGGACAACTGTCAAATTCAGGTACCCGCTCCCCCTCCCTCCCCAAAGGTCTGCAGCCTCTTAGTCATCCCCTGTACTGTCTGCAGTCTCTGGTCATCCCCTGTACTGTCTGCAGTCTCTGGTCATCTCCTGTACTGTCTGCATTCTCTGTTCATCCCCTGTACTGTCTGCATTCTCTGGCCATCCCCTGTACTGTCTGCATTCTCTGGCCATCCCCTGTACTGTCTGCAGTCTCTGGTCATCCCCTGTACTGTCTGCAGTCTCTGGTCATATCCTGTACTGTCTGCAGTCTCTGGTCATCCCCTGTACTGTCTGCAGTCTCTGGTCATCCCCTGTACTGTCTGCAGTCTCTGGTCATCCCCTGTACTGTCCGCAGTCTCTGGTCATCCCCTGTACTGTCCGTAGTCTCTGGTCATTTTCTGTACTACGTCCGCAGTCTCTTGGCCACCCCTGTACTGTCTGCAGTCTCTGGTCATCTCCTGTAGTACGTCCTGCAGTCTCTGGTCATCCCCTGTACTGTGTCCACAGTCTCTTAGTCATCCCCTATACTGTCCGCAGTCTCTGGTCATCTCCTGTACTATGACCGCAGTCTCTGGTCATCTCCTGTACTGTGTCCGCAGTCACTGGTCATCTCCTGTACTGTGACCGCAGTCTCTGGTCATCTCCTGTACTATGACCGCAGTCTCTGGTCATCTCCTGTACTATGTCCGCAGTCTCTGGTCATCTCCTGTAGTACGTCCGCAGTCTCTGGTCATCTCCTGTATTATGTTCGCAGTCTCTGGTCATCTCCTGTACTATGTTTGCAGTCTCTGGTCATTTCCTGTACTATGTCCGCAGTCTCTGGTCATCTCCTGTACTATGTCCGCAGTCTCTGGTCATTTCTTGTGTCTGCACTCCATTGGTTCAGAATATTTTTTTTCTTGTTTTCCACCTCTAAAACCTAGGTGCATCTCATGGTCAGGTGCGTCTTGTGGAGCGAAAAATACGGTAAATCTTTCGAATGACATTCAAATCTTCTGGGAATTTTTATACAAATTTTCCTAAGAATTTTTGTATGAAATGTTCAAAATTTTAATAGTGTATACCCAGCTTAAGACAACTGTCATTAAGTCACTTTTTATACATGCATCAAAGAATCCCTTACAAGATACTAATCTCAAACGTACATTAGCTGTGCCTTTTTTCCTGTGTTGCATGTTCTTTTAACCTTTGCTTCACATTGAAGGGCATCAGAATGTACCATTCTAACAACTTCCGATCACAACATTCTACTGAAACTGCCCTACTAAAACTCACTAACGACCTACTAACTGCCAAAACCAATGGTCATTACTCCATACTCATACTCCTAGACCTTTCCGCTGCCTTTGACACAGTGGACCAGCTGCTACTTCTAAGTAAACTCCACTCAATTGTCCTCCGTGACTGCTCTCTCCTGGTTCTCTTACCTAACTCAGCACACTTTCAGCCTCACATACAACTCCTGCTCCTCTGCTCCTTTCCCTCTTTCTGTTGGGATACCCCAATGCTCTGTCCTTGGGCCCCTCCTTTTCCCTCTGTACACCTCCTTCCTGGGCCAGTTGATAACCTCCCATGGCTTCCAATACCAGCCATTTGCGGATGACACCCAGATCTGTCTCTCCACTCCCCAGCTCACCCCCTCAATCTCCTCACGCATCACAAATCTACTAATAGACATATCAGCATGGATGTCACACCACTACCTTAAAATCAATCTTTCCAAAACCTATATTTCCTCCTCCCCACTCCCCCACTCATGACTTTGCCATTAAGATCAACAGCACAGCCATTGGTTCTTCCCTCATTCCAGGGTGCTTTGTGTAATCCTAGGCTCTGACCTCTCCTTTGGGCCCCACATCCAATCACTGGCTAAATCTTTCCGCCTCAACCTCCGGAACATTTCCAAAATCCGCCCCTTTCTGACCAATGACACCACACACCATCAGAACATAGCCTACAGCATTCACCTTTTGTACCACTTCCCCCTTCCTTTAGATTGTAAGCTCTTTGACCAGGGCCCTCCTATTCCTTCTGTACTGAAATGTATTGTAATTGTACTGTCCCCCTTACATTGTAAAGCGCTGCGAAAACTGTTGGCGCTATATAAATCCTGTATAATAATAATAATAGCACCCTTTGTATGATTGTTTTTTGTTTATGTAAGCATGGTTCACATTTAGAGAGGTGGCAGTTTATAATGAACAAATTTCAGTTTTAATTGTTTTTGTCACTTTGAGGGTGGCGTAAGATATATATTTATATATTGTTAAGGTACCGTAATTATTGATAATTATTTATTACAGTCAATTGTAGTATGAAATTATTATATTTTTTTAATATCAAATTATTTTAACCCCTTCCCATTTGCAATTTGTATAATAATATTCCCTGGTTTTATTCAACATGCCAATGATAAGTTAATACACTGTATGGTTTGAGAACTAGCAGCAGACACTTGGCACTCCTTGATTTCAATCCCAACTGTTGGCAGTTAGCATCTTCACTGACAATTGGGAACCAATTGGTGGTGGCATAGTGATCACATGCAGACTGAAGTCTTCAGGGACAAAAATTAAAGCCTTTAGTCTGTGGGTAAACACTGCTACCTTCAGGCTGCATATTTCATCTGTCAGGTACAGTTAGACTAATAAATATAATAATTCATATATATTTAAAAAACTGTGCTGTTTGCAACTTCAGTTGCACTTATTTTTCCCAGAGCTTAGTGAATGTGGTAAAGCTGCACTTTGTATAGAATATCCAATCAGGTACAAGGAAAAAAAAAAAACAACATTTTAGTTTGCACATGTTTGAATGATGGAAATCAGCAAAGCTTTATTACATTCGCTGAGCTCTGGGGAAAATGAGTGCAACTGCACTAGCAAAGTGCACATTCTATTTGCCTTTAGTAAATCAACCCCACAGATTTATTGTTAAGGTAACTGATACATGCTGAGGCTGCTCATTTTGGGCTGAGTATCTTGCCATCAATAGCCTGGAAATGCTTACTTCTTTTTCAATATGCACTTAAAGAGGACAGTGCTATTTGTTCATTGAAGCTTATTCAGTAGAAAATATGATCACTTTAATTTTATATTATTACGATGATAAAGGGTATTTTCTCATTTTGAAGACATAATATTAACAAGACATTTGTAGCATAAATTGAGGAAAAATGTCCAAGCAACATTGCCTCTCACAATGCATGAAAAGGTTTATTAATTTGAAGAAAATTGTGACTTTTTTTTATTCGTTCATGTCTATAAAATTGTAATATTTAAATCTGACCCAGCGTATATTTTCCCTTAGACTATTAGAGACTAATGTTAAGCTTTTTAAATCTAATCTACTGATTTCTCATATAGAAAATTTCATGCTGTGCTGGAAACTATCAGGGATGAAGAAAATGTCTGATTTAAATAGCAGGGGACGGTAGACTATGACTTGAATTTCTATAACAAACCAGGTATTAAAGTTCATAATGTTGGCATGTACTGAAAAGGCTTCAAGGAAATTTGGGTTCTTAATTAGAAAAACTGTGCCATTGTTATACTGTTAACCGACTATATTCTGCTCATTTTAAATTAATGCAGCAGCATTTGTTTAAATCAAATATCTTATATTTGTGGACATTTTTATACACTGCTCAAAAAAATTAAAGGAACACTTTTTAATCAGAGTATAGCATCAAGTCAGTTAAACTCCTGGGATATTGATCTGGTCAGTTAAGTAGTAGAGGGGGTTGTTAATCAGTTTTAGCTGCTTTGGTGTTAATGAAATTAACATGTGCAACAATGAGATGACTCCCAAAACAGGACTGGTTTTACAGGTGGAGGCCACTGACATTTGTTTCCCTACTCATCTTTTCTGACTGTTTTTCACAGTTTTGCATTTGGCTAGGGTCAGTGTCACTACTGGTATCATGAGGCGACGACCCTTGCACAGGCAGTCCATTTCCTCCAGGATGGCACATCAATACATGCCATTGCCAGAAGATTGCTGTGTCTCCCAGCACAGTCTTAAGAGCATGGAGGGTATTTCAGGAGACAGACAGTTACTCTAGGAGAGCTGGACAAGGCCATAGAAGGCCCTTAACTCATCAGCAGGACCCGTATCTGCTCATTTGTGCAAGGAGGAACAGGATGAGCACTGCCAGAGCCCTACAAAATGACCTCCAGCAGGCCACTGGTGTGATTGTCTCTGACCAAACCGCCAGAAACAGACTTCATGCATGTGGCCTGAGGGCCCAACATCCTCTAGTGGGCCCTGTGCTCACTGCTTGTCACCATAGAGCTCGATTGGCATTTGCCATTGAACACCAGATTTGGCAGGTCAGCCACTGGTGTCCTGTGCTTTTCACAGATGAGAGCAGATTCACCCTGAGCACATGTGATAGATGTGAAAGGGTCTGGAGAAGGCGTGGAGAATGTTATGCTGCCTGTAACATCGTTGTGCATGACCGTTTTGGTGGTGGGTCAGTGATGATCTGGGGAGGCATATCCATGGAGGGACACAGACCTCTACAGGCTAGACAATGGCACCCTGACTGCCATTAGTTATCAGGATGAAATCCTTGGACCCATTGTCAGACCCTACGCTGGTGAAGTGGGTCCTGGGTTCCTCCTGGTGCATAACAATGCCCGGCCTGATGTGGCGAGAGGATTCAGGCAGTTCCTGGAGGATGAAGGAGTTGATCCCATTGAATGGCCCCCACACTTGCCTGACCTAAATCCAATAGAATACCTCTGGGATATCATGTTTTGGTCCATCCGATGCTTGCAGGTTGCACCTCAGACTGTCCAGGAGCTCAGTGATGCCCTAGTCCAGATCTCTGAGGAAATATCCCAGGATACCATTCGTCTTGTCATTAGGAGCATGCCCCGACATTGTCAGGCATGCATACAAGCATGTGGGGGCCATACAAACTACTAAGTACCATTTTTAGTTGCTACAGTGAAATTTCAGCAAAATGGACTAGCCTACTGCATCATTTTTTCACTTTGATTTTTGGTGTGTCTTTGAATTCAGTCCTCTGTATGTTGATAATTTTCATTTCCATCAAATGGTGGGGCATCCTTACATTCCTAACACATTACCCAGTCCATATCAGTATAGCCATCCAGCACATTTTTCCCCATTGAGATCTGATGTGTTTTCAAAGTGTTCCTTTAATTTTTTTGAGCAGTGTATATGGGTATGTGAATAGTTCCTATGTGTTAGGATTAGTATGATTTACTGGTTGACTGTATGGATGTATTTGATTGCTTAGGAAAGGCTTTCCAATTAAACTTTTAGCATTACACCTGATCGAACCTATGACGTGTCAATGGGATTTGGGCTTGTGTAAATGCGCTTGTTTTTGCCATCAGTTTGAAATACTCCTGTGATAATTAGGAATTAATTGACAGACCTGTACTTGTATGATCTGCATTTGTATTCCCATAGATCTGTAGAGGGA